TCTTGGTGAGGCCAGCGGTCTGGGCGAGGTCGTGGGTCTGTGGTTCTGGGCGAGGCCAGCAGGTGCAGCCTTCTCAGGGCGGGAGGGGCCGCTCCCCCAGGAGAACTTCCTCATCAGAGCCCCCACCTGGATGACCGTGTGTGTCTCGCTGTTCCTCTGCACTGGTGTGCGCATTTTCTCACCTGTTGCCCGCATCTGCTGACGACCTGCTGCTGAACTCTTCCACTGGGTTAATCTGTCGGGTTTCAGTTCTTGAATTCTCATCCAGCCTTCTCATGGCTCCTCACGGAGCTTCTGACGGTCGCTGTCTGTTGTTGGTGATGGCTTTCGTCAGCTGTGTGTCCCCCGTGTGCCTGGACGCTTCTGTGCGTGCCAGCCTGTGTGTGAAGAGCTCCAGGGGCCACGTGGGCCTGGGAGGCAGGTGCCCTCCTGTGCGGTGGGATTCGCATCGCTTCTTCCGGCTGGTCCTCGTACTGCCATTTGTTCAGGGCCCTCTGGGGGCTGGGCTCCCCGGCCCTCTTTTCTCATGAGGCCCCTCCCCCTCGGTGCACCTGTCTGTGCGGCCCAGCTCCCCAGCCTCGGCGCTGTCTGCACACAGGCCTCCTGGCGCCCGGGTCCCGGGAGCTGTGACTCACTGACCCCTGCTTCGTGTGCTCCCAGCAGCGCGTGCCGGCGGCCCTGCGGTGTCCTCGCACCCGGGCTATGCCTCTCCGTGCTGTGTGCTGCTCTGGTGCCTGGGGGCCGAAGCGTCTGATCTGGGGCTTGCCTCTGTATCGTTGTCGGATAGTGAAATCGACACAGCGCGGGTAAGACTCCTCCCTGGAACAGAAGGCTTTCCAAGGGGCTCTTGGAACCCTCGTGTCCGGCGGGCGCTGGGGACAGTGGTCAGCACACCCCTTGGCACGCCCGCATCCCATATCTGAGAGCCTGGGTTCAACCCCAGCTCCGCTCTCCATCTGCATTCCGGCTTCCTGCTAATGTGCCCTTGGAGGCCGCAGGCCATGCGCAAACGCTTGGGCCCCTGCCACCCACGTGGGAAACCAGGATTGAGCTCGAAGCTCCTGGCTTCAGCCTGGCCCAGCCCTGACTGTTGCGAGCTTTTGAGGAACGCCCAGTGGGTGTCTGCCTGTCTGCCTTCTATAAATAACAAAGCATAATGAAAAATACATATAAAACTGCACATACTGATATAAAATATAAATCAGCATAAAACAGTTTGTAAATCTTTATGTCCTTGAAGGAATTAATACCAATGAAGTTAATTCCGTTTTAAATTTGTTTTCTATGTGATGACTGCTAGTATACAAGACTCATTCTTTTTGTTTTTTAAAGATTTATTTATTTTAAAGAGTTAGAGGAGAGGCAGAGAGAGAGAGAAAGAAAGAGAGAGAGAGAGAGAGGTCTTCCATCCGATGGTTCACTACCCAGATGGCCACAACAGCCAGAGCTGTGCCGATCCGAAGCCAGGAGCTTCCTCCAAGTCTCCTGCATGGGTGCAGGGGCCCAAGGACTTGGGTCACCATCCACTGCTTTCCCAGGCCATAGCAGAGAGCTGGATGGGAAGTGAAGCAGCCAGGACTTGAACCAGCGCCCGTATGGGGTGCCAGCACTGCAGGCGGCGTCTTTACCTGCTAGGCCACAGCGCCGGCCCCAGACTCATTCTAAATTAGGATTGACCTGTCAGCTAAGCTGTATTGTTATGCCTGTATCTTCTCCGACCTTTTTGTAAAATACTTGTATTTCAAAACGTATTTTTCCTGCGTGTTATAAATAATGTTCTCTCTTAGTCTCCGATTTGTTTCACTAGTCTGAGTCTGTAGTAATTTCGCGTGATTACGTCGGCCGTTACGCGGCGTTCAGTCTGTGCAGTAACTGCGCTCGGCGCGCGCTCTCTCCACAAGACAGCGTGGAGGCAGAGAACACCGCACGGCGGCTCCTCCTGTGCACTCCGGTTCTCAGCCCGCGTTTGCAGCCGACACTAAATGTGAGCGAGGGGCGTGAGACCACTCAGGAGCCGAGGACTTGCGCAGCGGCCGCCCGCAGGGCTCTGTCCGGGGAGGGGAGGCCCCTCGCGGTCCCCTCTGGTTGACTCTAGGGTGGCTGGGGTCAGCGTTCCCTTTGTGAAACCCCTGGGAGAGTCTCAGGTGCGTGGGATCTGACCTGCTGCAGGCCCCGTGGCCTGTCCTCCCCCCTGGGCCCCTGCCTCCTGGGACAGCAGCTCCCGGGCCCCCCAGGAGCCCCGGCGGAGGAGCTGCCGTCCCCTGCACTTGCAGGGCGCGTGCGGGAGCCTCTGCGGGGGCCAGCCCCTCCCAGCCCGCGGCTCCCCGGCCCCTCAAGTGCAAGCGCCCTGTTGGATTTCTTCAGGGGAGTTCTTCAAACCTGCTTTGAAGGCCTGTGCGTTTGAGGTCAGCTCACTGATGGACGGCGCCACCACCCAACCCACGGCAGTTCTTTGGATTTCTCAAAAGCAGCTCGGCGTCAAGGATTCTTTCGGAGTTTACCAGAATCTTCCAATACGAATGTCGCCTTTTTTTTTAAGAGCTCATCTTTTTTTTTTAATTTTTTTTAAATTTAAAAAAAAAATTTTTTTGGACAGGCAGAGTGGACAGTGAGACAGAGAGACAGAGAAAAGGGTCTTCCTTTGCCGTTGGTTCACCCTCCAATGGCTGCCGCAGCCGGCGCGCTGCGGCCAGCGCACCGCACTGATCCGATGGCAGGAGCCAGGAGCCAGGTGCTTCTCCTGGTCTCCCATGGGGTGCAGGGCCCAAGCACTTGGGCCATCCTCCACTGCACTCCCTGGCCACAGCAGAGAGCTGGCCTGGAAGAGGGGCAACCGGGACAGAATCCGGCGCCCCGACCGGGACTAGAACCCGGGGTGCCGGCGCTGCAAGGCAGAGGATTAGCCTAGTGAGCCGCGGCGCCGGCCATGAATATCGCCTCAATCACAGACGGTCTCCGGGCTGCACGCCTGCCCTCGGCAGGGTCAGGGATGGACGCCCGCCCTCGGCCCTCGCCGCGCTGCGCGCCCTCTCCTCTGCTCCGGGCTCGTCCCAGACGGCGATCTCGGGGTTCCCACGGGTGGATCTGGGTGGTCAGGTCTTATTGTCACTAGGAAGCTGTGTCCAGTTGGACACTTGGCCAGCTTGCGCCAGCTCTGCAGCCCGCGGAGTGTGGTCCTGCGGTGAGAAGACAGGGCCAGCGACCACCGTGGTGGGCACCCCTCGGGGTGCCGCTGCGCATCGGGGGAACTCAGGCGTCTGGGCCCGGCTCCTGCCTCTGACGGCCCCCGCGGAGCAGCTGGTGGTGTTGGCTGGCGTTTTTCAAGATGAACTTGCTCTGAAGGCTGAATCAGCTTTGTTGCACTGGCAGGCACTTAGAGTGCTTATGATCTTAGATGCTGGTGCAGCTTCCTGGTAGTGGTGGTCACCAGTGATGCTGTGAATTCTTGGAGCCTGGGGCCTTTCCCACCACAGTTAGCATAAACACGTGTTTCAGTGCACCTGGGTTTTATCTTCACTCTTCCCTTGGGGAATCTAACACACACAGTCTTTGGACGTGAACCTGAAAGGGAAACTCCAAGAGAAGGCAGGTCTTTGTGCCAGGGCTGAGCTGGGCTCACACAGCCGTGGTGTCTCCCTGCTACATAGAAGCTCAGCCCTGCTGGCAGCCAGGTGGGCCACCGAGGAAGCCCCTCCCTGTGTGGGAGTGAGGCAGGAGGCCGGCGTCAGCACCTGGCCCCCACGTACAGTATTTGTGCTTTCTGGGCAGCGAATGGGCTGTGAGAGCGAGGAAGTGAGTCTCGGGTGGAAGCCAGGAGAAGGATCAGGGATGGACGTGTCCTCAGACTGTGTCCTGGGCCGGTGCCGGCCACCTAGAGCTGCGGCCCCCTGCTGCAGCCCAGCCCCCCACCCCGGTGTGAGTCCTCCCTGTCTCTGTCCTGCCAGCTTTTACTCAGTGCCGCCCCCTGCAGCAGGGCCCCGCCCAGGCAGAGCTGCGACCAGAATTCATGCGACTGGGATGCACACATATTCTCAGGAAACTTCTCAAAGACCCCTCTATGCAAGGTTTTCAAGCGTTTTTGCACCAAAAGAAATTCACCTTGCAGTCGCATCCTCCACACACTTTCCCACGCGGCTCGTCGGCGCCCTGCCTGGGAGACGGGGAGGTCAGGAGCCGCCTCATCCCATCCTCTCCTGGCGAAGTCCAAAGAACTAGATTTCCCCTGGGCGTGGAAGGTCCCGGACCCAGAGGCTGCAGGCCGGGTTTACCTGCAGGCCAGGCCAGTGCAGAGGCCCAGCTGCCCCCGGCCAAGTCGAGGAGGAGCGCTCGGGGTCACCCCCTGCCTGGCCTCCTGGGCCGTCCTCGTGGTCACCACCATCAGCCTGTCCTTTGGCCATTTGTCTACTTGACCAATGTAATGGCAAAAATTCACAGCTGCTCGCCCCGTGCCCCAGCCTCTTCATCATGAGGTGGGGCTTCCTCCGTGTGACCCGTGTGGGCCCCTGAGCCCGTCTCTGCTCTCTGCTCGTTCCTCACTGCTGCCCAGTGCTTCCTTGCACCGTGGCCGGGGACCCCATGCCTGCACCTCTGCATAGCGGCTCCTGCGTCTGTCTGCAGAGTTAGCAGTCTGGCCACTGCATCCTCCAGGGGCTCTTTTATGTCAAAGATTAAAGCTCCCTTCAGAAGGAACAAGTGTGAGCGCCGCGCCATCTCAGGGGAGTAACCCGCCTTCCAGACACACGTCAGTTCCGGGCATCCGAGGGGAGCAAGACCTCTTACAAGCCCCCCGGGCGTCTCCCGCCTCCACCCCTGCCTCCCCTTACAAATCCCCCAGGCGTCTCCTGTCTTCATAAGCCCACCGCCTCCACCCCTGCCTCCCCTCCCGTAGCCCCCAGCCCCTCCCAGCCCCTCGCTGAGCTGGCCCCCCCTGTGCGTCCTGCCCTTCGCCAGGTGCCGTGGCCAGCACAGAGGTGAAGATGAAGTTGCAAGAATTCGTGCTCAATAAGAAGAAGGCGCTGGCCCACAGGAACCTGAACCACTGCATTTCCAGTGACCCCCGCTACTGGTACGGGTAAGTGGCCGGGGTGGGGACGCCCTGCCTCATCCAGGCCCTGCAGACGCAGGCTCTTTACCTGCTGAGGCCAAAGGAGCGGGTGAGGGAGGGAACCCCGAGGGATGGCGGCTGGCCCGGGTGTGCTTGGAGTGCGGAGGCGTGGCCGTCGTCCCGCTGGGGCTCTGGGCCGTCTCAGAGGAAGCTGTGGGTCCCTGGGGCTGGTGCCCGCGCAGTCCCCGTTCAGCCACAGCAGGTGCCACTGAGACTGGATTCCCTCCGAGTTGTGCGTTTGCATCCACCAAGTCTGCCCACTGTGCTTCAGGCAGCTCCGTCAGCTGCGAGCCCCACCAGAGCCTGCATGGCAGGCAGAGCCTTGTTGGTGCTGTGGGCTGAAGAGAGCCCAGGGCAGAGGCCTGGGCGGGGCAGAGGCCTGGGCGGGGCAGAGGCCTGGGCGGGCAGAGGCCTGGGCGGGGCAGAGGCCTGGGCGGGCAGAGGCCTGGGCGGGGCAGAGGCCTGGGCGGGGCAGAGGCCTGGGCGGGCAGAGGCCTGGGCGGGGCAGAGGCCTGGGCGGGGCAGAGTGGCAGCTCCCACGGCCCTGCCCCACCCCTGCCAGTAGACGGCTCTGAGCCACGGCCCGCTGCTCGCCCTTCAGGGCACCCACCCCAGGCCGCCGCTGGTGTCACAGTGTGGAAGGGACCACCCTCAGTGTAGACAGCCAAGGGAAGGGGCCACCCTCAGTGTAGATGGACAGGGGAAGAAGAGTCCACTTCCAGTCCAGATGGCCAAGGGAAGGGGCTACCCCCAGTGTAGACGGCCAAGGGAGAGGGCGTCTGCAGTCTACCCAGCCGAGGGGGTACTGTGGTTTGGGGCACTGAAGGCTCTGGGGAGCCCGGTGAGAGCTGAGCAAGCAGCGTCTGGGGTGGGGCACGGGGGACCAGCAGCCCTTCCTGTGCGTCGGGCCCACAGCCTGCTGCCCTGGGTCTGACAGCCTGGGGGAGGTTTCCGACAAGAGGCGCTGGGGTCCCTGTTGGTCTTGTGTCGCTGCCTGGGGCAGGAGTGTTGTGGGAGCTGGGTCTTGGCAGGGAGGGAAGGACACCTTGTCCAGCCCCATTCCACGTCCGGTGACCGCGTGCCCTCTGGGCCTGCGGGTGGGGGGACGGCAGTGGGACCTGCAGAAGAGAGCTCGGGAGGGCAGTGGGCAGGAGCTACGCAGGACGCCGACCTCACGCGCTGCGGCCGAGGGCTCCAGGGACAGTGTCTTGGGAGGGGCCTGCAGGGAAAATGAAAAGGCAAGCCGCCGACTGGAAGGCGGCATCCCCAGGCAGATGGCTGCCGCTAGCGGAGCCCACAGTCCAGCGCCACGCTGGGGAGAGCCCAAGGGTGGACAGGTCCCCTCCAACAGGTAGCGGAGCCCACAGTCCAGCGCCGCGCTGGAGAGAGACCAAGGGTGGACAGGTCCCCTCCGACAGGTAGCGGAGCCCACAGTTCAGCGCCACGCTGGGGAGAGACCAAGGGTGGACAGGTCCCCTCCGACAGGCAGCTGAGCACCAGCGGGCCCGTGGGTAGAGGGCTGACGCCCCAGTCACCAGCGAGGCGCAGAGCCCAGCCACGGCAGGGCACGCCGCGCAACCCAGCTGGCTCGTTACGCTGGCCATGTGTCAGCAAAGGGTGTGGTACCTGCTTGTCTGCGGGCTGCCCACGGGTGTCTCAGCGGCACGGCACACTGGAAACCATTGGCAGCGGCTGGGGGAGCCAACGTCCACCTGCGCTGTGGCCCAGCAGCAGCCCCCCTCGTGTCTCCTGGGACACACACAGGGACACACAGTCCCCCCTCGTGTCTCCTGGGACACACACAGGAATGCACAGTGCCCCCCCTCGTGTCTCCTGGGACACACAGCGGCCCCCCTCGTGTCTCCTGGGACACACACAGGGACACACAGTCCCCCCTCGTGTCTCCTGGGACACACACAGGAATGCACAGTGCCCCCCTCGTGTCTCCTGGGACACACAGAGCCCCCCTCGTGTCTCCTGGGACACACACTGGGACACACAGCGCCCCCCCCCCCACGTCGCCAGGGACACACACAGGGACGCACAGCACCCCCCTCGTGTCTCCTGGGACACACAGAGCCCCCCTCGTGTCTCCTGGGACACACAGTGCCCCCCCCCCCGTGTCTCCTGGGACACACAGTGCCCCCCCCCCCCCGTGTCTCCTGGGACACACACCGGGACGAGTGCTCCTACGGTCCCAGCACAGACCGTGCAAACTCCCAAGCTCTCATCAACCGGCGATGGTCTTGCACCCGAGGGTCCCTGTGCCCGGGAACACAGCCAGCAGCGGCGTGTCAGGTGTGTCGGACACAGCGTTTGTCCCGGGGGTCCCGGCGCATGAATCCTGAGTCAGTGGAACGCCCCCAGGGACGGAAGCACCCGGGGCCTGGGAGCTGGGCGGCTGCAGCAGGCGGGCAGCGGCTGTCCCTGGGGGGGCGCTTCCCCAGTGTCAGGTGTGTCCGAGCTCCAGCTCGCTGGTCGTTGCATGAGACGGGATGCCACCGGGACACCTCGGAGCACCTGAGAACACGGCTGGTCTGTGGAAGGCAGGACCCCCGCCGCACAGCGGGAGGCCAGGGCGTGGAAGGCGGTGTCACCGGGCATCACGAGGAGGCTGTGCTGCCCTGGGAGGAACAGACCACTGACGTTAATTCACCGCCTTCCCAGTGTGTCCTAGTGGCGACTGGAAAACTGGAGCCACACCCGCAGCTCAGTTGCGTTTTCATTGGCCTGTGCGTGAGCGACAGGCGTGTCTGTCTTGCCTCCCGGTGTGAATCTGCAGTGGTGGGGAGGGCCGCTGCCGTGGGGCGAGCGGCTGGCTCTGGCCGCAGCGTCTTCTGCAGTGCAGGTGATTTCAGCGAGAAGACAGCGGTGCTTGTCCCCCACTTTCATCGGGGCCACAGGGCTGCCTTGGAGATAACAGTGCTAGGTGGCTGCCCCGGCCCAGGCCGCACCGAGTGCCGCTGCCTTCCGGCCTTGACCTCATGCTGCCCTCCCAGGACCCGGAGTCGTGGTTGAGAAAGGCGGGATGAGCCTGGTCAGGGCTGAGTTGGCTCTGGACGGCTGCCTCGGGGTGTGGGTGTGTCTGGCCATGTGAGTGCCTGTGTGAGCTGGGGTGTTGGTGCAGCCAGGGCTGGGTCTCACTTTCCTCACACTTCCAGAACCTTCTTTACCACAGACACCGCCAGGCTGCAGCCTGGTTATGGTGGGGCCGTGGTCTCCCTTCCTGGCCCTGGACCAGGCAGAGCAGCGGGGCCCGGTCCTCAGCCAGGTGTTTGGGGAAGCTGCGCTGGGCACGCACCTGGTCACTTGCTGACTGCGAGGACTTGCAGCCGGGCACTGCCAGCAGGGGCTCAGGTCAGCTCATCTCAAGGTCTGACCGAGTGAGGATTCTGATATGGCCAGCACCTCAGCAGAGAACCCACTAGCTCTTGGAGGAACGAAGCCTTTCCAACTCTGGCTTCACTAGAAACGGACCCTGCTGTTAGATTACAGTAAGGCCGTGTCTGCTGACTTGAATTACTTATCACCGTGCGGCTAGCCATCTCTGACTCACACGTGATCCGAGGCAGGACGCGAGTGTAGACGCGGCCCCGGTCGCCACATGGCTCCAAGGACACGTTAGCAGTCGGGCGAGGATACGGTCTGGAAGCTGATGCCGTGAGAGGCCCAGCTCCGCTGGAGGCCTGGGGCTGTGCTGGTCTGAAGGTCCCGGGGCCTAGGGAGGTAGCCCCGCAATGAGGCTACCAGTGCATGGGTGCAGCTGTGCCCGTCTCAGTCCTGCCAGCGCCACTTGGGGACAGTGTGGGGGGCAGGGCCTGAAGGGGCTGCATCTTCCCGGGCCCTGTGCACTTCCCCCCTCCAGGAGGCAGACGCCCGCTGGGCCGGCAGCCCCGAGCCCGCTGGGTCCCTGTGCCCCTCAGCACCCCTGCAGGGTGCGCTCTCAGAGCCTACCGTGTGCACCTGTGTGCACTGCCGACGCATCCGGACCACTGCCGGTGCCTGAGCTGGCCTGCTGAGTGCTCAGCTAGAACACTAACGAATTCCCCCGAGGGAGCGCTTGTACTCTCGGCTCTGGTCGTTAGGCAGGTCACACCCAGCGACTCAGAAGTTGTTCAACTTGCTGTTTTCAGCAAGGCTCCACGGGCGGTGCCGCCCCAGGTCCCCGTGGGGGCGTCCTGGTGGCCGCGGCTCCTCTCCTGCTTGTCGGGATGGTGGGCAGTGCCTGGCTCGCAGGTCAGCGCCAGGGGGAGGGGCCAGAGGCTGCCAACCTGCCCCCGCCCCCGGTGGCTTAGTTCTGGGGAAGGCTCGGGAGACAGTGACTCCGCTGCAGACAGGAGCCCCAGACACCACGGCGTGCACTCCCACCTGTTTGCTCCGGCCCAGCCCCCCGAGCACAGGCCTGGCGTCGCAGGACAGACCAGAGCCGGGGGAGAGAGGCTGAGCTGCGTGCGGACCAGAGCGCTGAGCCGGCACGGAAGCTGTGGCTCCTATGCGTGCTCGGGGGTCATCCCTGTTTCCTTTTGCTTTCCGCAGGCGGTCTGGCGGGCCTGGCCAGGGGGCCGACGGCTGCGGGGGCCGTGCGCGCGGGCCACGTCCGGGCTCCGTGCAGGCCGGGCGGTGCCCTGGGGGAACGCAGCCTCAGCCTTTGCCTTTTCCCCAGGAAAACGCAGCACAGCTCCCTGGACCAGAGTTCACCGCCCCAGAGCGGGACGTCCGCCTCCTACGCCCACCCGGTGCTGGGGATGTACGACACCAAAGACGACTTCCCGCTCAGGAAGACAGGTCAGTGCGCGCCCGCCGCCGGGACGGCTGCTCGGCACGCCCCGGGGTCGCCGACCGGCACTCTCGCGTCTCCCGGCCATCCGCAAAGGGCCTGACCACACCCACATCCAGGCAAGGTGCCAGGTGTGCACCGTGGGCAGCCTCTCCGGTGGTCCCGGGCGTGGTGACCGGCGCCCTCGGTGCTCTGAGGCGCTGTGTGCGGAAGCTGGCCCTCGCTCAAGGGGTCCCCGGGAGGCTGCCCCAGCTGCCGGCAGACCAGCAGTCGGCGATGAGTGCGTCAGTTTCTTTCTGTCAGCCACACCTGGGGCGGCCGCCCGTGCCGAGACAAAGGCCGGCAGGCACAGTTTGCAGCAAAGACCCGGGAAACCCAGCATGGGGGCTGGCAGACTGGCACCTCTGTCCCATGGGGGTCGGGCAGCTGTCTGCGCCTCCCGCCCCTCCCCCCGCTTCCTGCCCCGAGCTGTGCTGCTTTGGGGATGTTGGGAAGCCGCGTCTCCGGCACCTGCTGGGGTGCAGGCCGCCTCCTCCCAGGACCGTGCCTGCACGCCGGCGGCATTCGAGCCCAGCGTGCCGTGGGGGCCTAGGGGTGCCCTCTGCAAGTCAGATTCCAGGGACTCACTCGTGTGCCCTCTGCGAGGGACAGGACCCCGGGCGACTTCCCGGGTGGCATTCTCACCGCGAAGCACCACGCGTAGACTCGTGCTCACTCTGCAGTGACGCCATGCTGGGGTTTGCCTGTCTGTACGGGGCAGGGCATGGTGGGTGGACACTGCCCCGCTGACCGCTCAGCCCGCCGTGTGTCCCTGTGGGGCCAGCTCGCCTCGAGCCCAAAGCCTCTGACGCCCTCACGGAGCAGCGTGGCCTTCCCGGGCTTCTGCACGCTCAGGGAGCTGAGGTCGCCCCCACGGCCCACATCTGCGCCAGGTCCTGCCTCTGTGGCTCAGGTTGCTGTCTGCAAAGTGCCACTGTAGGTCTGCACCCTCCTGAGACCATCAGGAGTTGTGGGAGCCTGTGTTTGCCAGGTGCATCCCCCAGGACAGTGTGGGAGAGGGGCTCGGCTCTGGCCCCTGGAAGCTCTCACTCCTGTCCCCAGCCTGTGACCGGATCCTGCCAGGCAGAGCTCCCCAGGGCCTCCCACAGGGTCCGCGATGCAGCCGGGCACGGCAGGAGCCGCTGCACTCACCTGCGGGGCTCAGGGCTCATCCGGATGCTGCCAGGCCTTCGCCACCTGCACGGCACCCAGAGCTCAGAACCAGGCTGACCCTTCTAGATCCAGGCTCCAGTCAGATGCCCTGGCCCGGTTCTGGCCCAATTTTGACTTCCTGCGAGGGACTGCACCCCTCTCCTGGGTGATGGACAGCAGGGGTCTCCGCCTCCCACCAGGTGGTGGTGCTGAGGTCCTTCCTGTGGCCCCTCTGGCCACGAGAACCCCAGCTTGTGTCTGAAGCTACCGGGCTGCTACCAGGGCCGCGTGCGTATGGAAGTGCCCGTCAAGTCCCGCTGCTCTGCGTCCAGGCCAGCTTCCTCCCAGTGCATGCTGGGAAGCAGCAGATGGCGGCTCAGGCGCTTGGGCCCCTGCTGCCCGCGGGGGAGCCCAGGAGCAGTTCTGGATTCCTGACTCTGGCCTGGCCCAACCCTCGCTGTTGCAGACACTGACGCTGTGACCCAGCGGATGGAAACGCGCTCTCTCACTCTCTCTCTGCCTTTCTAGATGAAAACAAATAAACAAAAGACGCTCCCTACGTGACTTTAAATGAAGTCTTGAAGCGTAGCACATGCAGGGACTGACTCTTACAGGGACACTCCAGTGCCTGGGGGTTCGGCTGGGCGCTCTGTCACTTAGAGTGCGGCTGCGTCATCTGCGGCTTCGTTTTTCTCTCGGAGCATCTCCGTCTTGATCTGCAGGAACCACTCTCTCTTTTTGTTTAAAATATTTATTTATTTAAGGCAGAATTGCAGAGAGGGGGAGAGAAAGATCTTTCATCCACCAGCTCACTCCCCAGATGGCTGCAACAGCTGGTGCTGGGCCAGGCTGAAGCCAGGAGCCAGGGGCTTCTTCCAGGTCTCCCACGCGGGTGCAGGGGCCTCAGGACTTGGCCATCTTCTACTGCTTTCCCAGGCCACAGCAGAGAGCTGGATCAGAAGTGGAGCAGCCGGGACTAGAACCGGTGCCCACGTGGGATACTGGTGTTGCAGGCGTTGGCTTCACCTGCTGTGCCCCAGTGCTGGCCCTAGGCAGCCATTCTTCCATTGTCCTGTGCTGATGAAACAAGGCCAAACCAGAACATGACCGTGGTCTCGCCAACGCAGCCCTCCTCCCTGCAGTTGGCAACGTCTTCGCCCTCAGCACTGAGAAGTGCACCCCAGGGAGCTCCTTGGCCAGGGTCCAGGGTGGCCCGGGACAGAAGGCCCTGTTGGCAGAACTCCCCGGCGGCCGCCACACTGGCGTGGTGTGGCTGCTGGTGGCTTCGAGGAAGCGAGATCCTAAGGCCTGTGGTCTGTTTCAAGTCGGCAACCCCAGCCTCGTCCTGAATCCTCACCCCGACGGCAGGGCCAGGCCCCCACACTGGGTGTGAACTGGGAGGAGGCTGGGGTCCTGGGACCGTGGGTGGTGCTGGGCTGCCCGGGGTCTGTGGCTGCCAACAGCAGCCCCTCAAGCTTCCGCCCTGACAAGTGTTACCCTGGCTCTGCCCTTCCCGCTGTCGCTGACACCCAAGTTCACAGCCGCCGCGCAGACACCGGCGGTCGTTTCCGATGCACGAAGTACGCTGTACGCCCACCTCACTCTTGCTCTGCACAGGCCCGGCCCTCGCAGCGGGCGTCCCGGCAGGTGGCCCCCGGCGGGGGCAGCGGTGCCGTCTGTGTGGCAGTGGGAACGGCAGGTGCGAGTGGGGTCAAGACCACAATGCCCAGGGGAAGGGGGGTCGCCTGTGTGGAGCTCACCCAGACAGGATGGCACCACGGCCTCCCTGGGAGCAGGTCAGACGCCTCCCGCTAAAGCCACAGCCTGACTTGTCGTGTGAACCTGTCAGTGCACCCCAGCCCCCGCCCCCCTGTCACCACGCCCTGCCTTGAGGCTCCTCCCTGGGCCCATCAGCGTGCTCCCCCACTCACCTTGGCTGTGCACGTCTCCCAGCAGTCCACGCAAGTCCTGCGTGGAGGGAGCGTTTTGGAAGCCACGCGTGCTGGCAGATCTCTGTTCCGACATCCAGGATTGGCCGAGGGTTTGGGGGGAAGGAGCCCTCCGGAGCATTCTGGCATCGAGCCCCATTCTTTGTCCCCAGAACTGAGCCGAGAGCTCCCAGCCGCGAGGGTCTCCTGGCGCCGCTCCCCCAGACAGGACGCTTCTGCGCGGCTCCGCTGGGACCCCTCGCTGGGACCCGTCGGCGCTTCTGACCCGGGGCTTCGCGGATTGGGCGTGGGACCTTCGCCCTGTCTCTCTCCCTTTGAAGGCAGCAGCTTTGCACTCAGGGCTCGGCCTCTAAGATCTCCCTCCCCGTCTCCACGGGACGGCCGGGAGGAGCCGCCGCGAGCCTTGGCCTTTGCCCTGGCGATGCCCTCGGCGGCCCGTTGCGGACTCACAGCCCTTCCCCCAGGGGCTCCGGGCCCAGAGCAGGGCCCCCGTGCCTCAGAGCCCACCAGCCCTTCGCCGAGGCTGCCTGGTGTTTTGCTTCTGCGCTGTCAGCCGTGGGCCATCTCACGAGGCAGCCTACGGAGGGGCTGCTGTGTGGAACGGCGGGTTCATCTGCCCGTCAGCGCCGGTGTCCACATCACGGTGTTGGTGCAAGTCCCGTCATCCACTGCCGACCCGGGAAGACGACAGATGGTGACCCGAGTGCTCTGACCCTGCTGCTTATGTGGGGGACCCGGGTGGAACTCCTGGCTCCTGGCTCCTGGCTTTGGCCTGTCCAGACCTGGCTGCTGTGGCCATTTGGGGGGTGAACGAGTAGATGGAAGATCACTCTGTTCATTCTGTCACTCTGCCTTTCACGTAAGTAAATTTTTTTTAAGTTTTTTTTTTATTTATTTATTTGACAGGTAGAGTTATAGACAATGAGAGAGAGACAGAGAGAAAGGTTTTCCTTCCGTTGGTTCACCCCCCAAATGGCCGCTACGGCCAGAGCTATGCGGATCCAAAGCCAGGAGCCGGGTGCTCCACGTGGGTGCAGGGCCCAAGCACTTGGGCCATCCTCCACTGCCTTCCTGGGCCACAGCAGAGAGCTGGACAGGCGGAGGATTAGCCAAGTGAGCCATGGCGCCAGCCCCGTAAATTAATGTTTTAAAGTGTATGGTTCAGGTAATATTGTTCATGGGCCTCAAGTCATCCCTTGTTTGTCATTTTCCCAGATCTTGGAGCAGCACTGCTTTAAAGATATGGGTACATTGTTTAGGAGAATATTACGTGAGAGATGTTGCCTTTATGCTGCTGGCACACCTCGCCCGTTCCCCGTCATGACCACTAAGTCAGACGTCACCCACACGTGGGGACTCCGTGTCCACACAAGTGCAGCCCACGCTCCCGTGTGCCTGCCTGTCACTGCCAGCAGATGTTGCCCACAGTGCGTGTCGCTGAACTGCCCGCAAGATGCCCGTGAATCCAGCTGGCCCGCATGTCGTAACCACATCTCCTGTGTGTGCAGCTTCTGAACCCAACTTGAAACTGCGGTCCCGGCTCAAGCAGAAAGTGGCCGAGAGGCGGAGCAGCCCCCTGCTGCGCAGGAAGGATGGGCCAGTGGTCACCGCTCTCAAAAAGCGTCCGTTGGATGTCACAGGTATGGCGGGTGCGTGGGCGCCTGTGTCACCGCAGCTGTTCCCGGAGCCTCTGGACACTCAGTCTGCCTGACATGCTTGGCCACGTGCAGTCCTGGGCCCCTCGTGCCAGGTCCGCAAGGCCTGGCCACCCAGGCTCGGCGACCCGGAGTCCCTCGCCAAGTCCCTGCTCCAGCGCCAGCTGCACAGCGCTGCGGTTTCCCGGGCAGCACCAGGGCAGGGCTGTGAGCTGGTGCGGCACTGTGGGCATGTCTGCAGGGGCTGGGTGGGTCTCCCCTGCCCCGGCGGTGGTGAACCGGTGTTCCTGCCCGCTCACCGCCCCCCTGCTCCGTGGTCGCAGTCAGAGTCACTGGACGGTCCTGGAGTCTTCTCCCGCCAGTGCACCGTGCCTGAGCACAGGAGAAATTGCGGTGTAGCCCGCGGAAGACCTGCTGCCACCGCGGCAGCGCCCCTGGTGGTGCACTCCCGGAATGTTCCAAGCATGCAGCTCGCATTGCCCTTCCTTTGGAAACTTGGCCCCAGGTGCTGCTGTTACTAAGCAGCCATTAAACCCAACTTCAGAAGCCTGGAGCCTTGTTAACATTGAGAGCCACAGAGACCTCGGCTGCGTGGCAGCAGCAGTAGTGGCTGCCGTGGCCAAGAGAGGGAGCTTGGTGCTGAGTGTGGCTTCCCCGGCCACACGGCTCTCGCTGGCACCGGGGCTGAGCCGCTCCGAGGGCGAAAGGCTCCTTACGCTTGTGGACCGCAAGGACAAAGCCCAGACGCCGCTGGCTGCGTCTGCGCCCGCACCTGGTGCTGTGCTGCACACGAGCTCAAGTTCAGAGCGCCAGCAGCGGGCGGCCTGGTTTCGAAGTGAGTTTTTCTGGAGAGCGCAGTGCATGTGACCTTTCACCGCTCAGTCATTTGCTCTGTGCTTCCTGGTCTTCTGTGGTTAGAACGTGGCGGTGGCTGAGAGCTTATCTCCCTGGGACTTGAATAGCTCCTGCAGTTCAGGAGGCAGACGACGGCTCCCCGTGTGTATCCTGAGCCCCTGACGGGGCTTGCTGGAGCGTGAGCTCCGCAGACTCATGCGGACAGCAGGGCGGGCCTGAGACTCGGGGCGCTGGCCGCAGGCTCCCTGTGCAGAAGCACAGGCGTGTCCCTCCTGTCGGGTTTCCACAGTCCCAAGCCCACAGCAGGCGTCCCGGCAGGCCGGCGCCGCTGGGCTGCAGGTGAGCTGCGCCGTGCCCTGCGGGGACCCGTTGCTCAGGCCGCGCTCACCGGACGTTTCTTGCCCCCACCAGACTCTGCGTGCAGCAGCGCCCCGGGCTCCGGGCCCAGCTCGCCCAACAACAACAGCTCTGGGAACGTCAGCACGGAGAACGGCGGCGTGCCGGCCGCACCCAGCATCCCCACTGAGGTCAGTGCCGTGTCTGCTGCGTCGCGTTTGCTGCTGCCCTCCCCGGGGCGACTTCAAGTGCCTGCCTGGCTCCCCCTGGGGCCGCGGGGTTGTGTGCAGGAGTGGCCAGGCCACCGCTCTGAGCCCGACGTGGTGCCTGACCTCTTCCAGAGCGTGTTTCAGACGGCCTCATACCAGCCTGGGTGCCCACAGCGCCCTGGGCAGCAGCAGGGCCCTCCAGGAGGCCCTGGGTGCACGGGAAACCCTTGCGGAGTGAGAGCGTTCATGGCTGTTGTGTGTTGAAAAAGCCACAAAATTAACATGTCGACCAACAATCCACGGGTCGGGTCGGGGAGAGCTGGAGGGCAGCCAGGGATCGAGACCTGCGCCCCGTCCTTCCTCAGCCGCCCAGTGCTGCACGGAGGGCCCTGGAATCCCCCGCAGTGCCGATGGCAGAGCTGGGAGCGGAGTGGGGAGGAGGCCGGCTGTGGGCCGTGCCCTCAGTCACAGCCAGGGTGAGCCTGGGCACGGCTCCCATCACCTGGACCCTTCACACCCTGCCCTTACTTCACGAGGGTCTCTGACGTCCTGGGCCCGGGCCAAGCGAGAACATGCCAGGAGGTGGCCGAGGCCCACTCAGCTCAGCGCCCAGGGCTATCAGGGCAAGGCCCTCCGCGAGGGCCCCAGAGGGCGGCCCGGGCAGCGAGCCTTCCGACACCATGAGCCTTGGATGCCGTGTGCCCGCGGCGGGCGCTCTGTGTGCTCCTGACTCCCTCGGATGCATGTGCCCGCGGCGGGCGCTCTGTGTGCTCCTGACTCCCTCGGATGCCGTGTGCCCGTGGTGGGCGCTCTGTGTGCCCGTAGGTGGGGCGCTCTGTGTGCCCGCGGTGGGCGCTCTGTGTGCCCGTAGGTGGGGCGCTCTGTGTGCCCGCGGCGGGCGCTCTGTGTGCTCCTGACTCCCTCGGATGCCGTGTGCCCGCGGCGGGCGCTCTGTGTGCTCCTGACTCCCTCGGATGCCGTGTGCCTGCAGCGGGCGCTCTGTGTGCCCGTAGGTGGGGCGCTCTGTGTGCCCACAGCGGGCGCTCTGTGTGCTCCTGACTCCCTCGGATGCCGTGTGCCCGCGGCAGGTGCTCTGTGTGCTCCTGACTCCCTCGGATGCCGTGTGCCTGCAGCGGGCGCTCTGTGTGCTCCTGACTCCCTCGGATGCCGTGTGCCTGCGGCGGGCGCTCTGTGTGCTCCTGACTCCCTCGGATGCCGTGTGGCCTGCGGCGGGCGCTCTGTGTGCTCCTGACTCCCTCGGATGCCGTGTGCCTGCGGCGGGCGCTCTGTGTGCTCCTGACTCCCTCGGATGCCGTGTGCCTGCAGCGGGCGCTCTGTGTGCCCGTAGGTGGGGCGCTCTGTGTGCCCGTAGGTGGGGCGCTCTGTGTGCTCGTGGCTCCCGGAGGCTATCACGCACTACACACGGGTGTTTCGTCTCCTTTCCCGACTACTGAAAGGAATCCCGTCCCCCCAGGTGCCATCCCCTGGGGACAGGCAGGGCCCAGTGCTCGCTGGACCTCGAGGCAGGACGACGTGGTGACGCGAGGTTGCAGCTGGCTCTGGTATGGCCTCTGCCCTCCGCGCCACCGGTCAAGCACTCACTTAGATCATTGAACATTGTAACCGTCCTCCTCTGTAAGACCGAGGCCGTGGCTGACACCGACTGCGATAGCCTGAGACTTGCGCCTGAGGCGTGGTGCTAACCCGGGTCCCGCCTTGCTCACGCGGCCAGCGGCGCTGATGCGATTCGGTGTGGTGATTCCTACAGTGTTAGTGCTGCAGCCGCGCGTGTCGAGTGGATGCACGAGGCCTCGGTTTCTGCTGTGCGCTCTTTTCTGCAAACGCTGTGGACGTGTACGTGAAGCTGCTGTAAACTAGCAACACGGAGAAATCCCGGACGTGTGGGAGAGCGGTGGTCGGGTCCTGGGCGCGTTTCCATTACAACACGGAGCGCGTCCTTCGCGGACTTCAGACCTCATTAGAAATGGACACGGCTCGGAACTTTCTACTGTTCCTGGCCAAGGCTGGCGCGTCCTTCCTGTGGATCTGGGAGCAGCAGGCTGCCCAGCGGCAGGCACAGCGGGCGCAGGGCCCCGGTCTGTGTGCACCTGCTTTGTCTCTGAGCCTGAAGGGCTGGTGTACTTGGGAGGCCCCGGGCCAGAGAGGCTCAGCCTCCCCCAGCCCTGCAGGTGGCACCTGGCTCCACGCGAGCCCCAGGGCTGCTCTGACTTCCCAGGGACCCTGCTGCTGCGGTCCTTTGCGGAGTGAACCAGCGGGTGGAAGACCTCTTTCTGTCTCTCCCTCTCTCTGCGTAGCTCTGCTTTTCAGATGAAATAAGAGATCTTTAGGAGAACAGGAAAGCAAGGCGCGTGGGGCTGTGGAGGTGCGGAAGGGACAGCTGGGCTGACCTGTGGCCACCCGTCCTCCCGGGGAGGAGGACGCGGGTTTCCACCAGGGCTGCAGGCTGCTCGCGTTCTGGTAACTTTCCTTTCCTAAAAGCTTCCTCGGCGAAACTCAGAATGTTCAGTGTCTCTCCTCGGTGACTCAGGCCGCCGCGAGCCGAGCGAGCACACTGGCCACTGAGGTCGCTGGCTGCGGCGCCCGCCGGCTGCGTCAGGGCACTGTCCTCTGCCGGCGAGCGCCGCCGAGCTCCGCTGTGCAGGGCCACCTGCCCTCTGCCCAGCTCTGGCCACGCCAGGCCCCAGCAGCCTCCCCCAGCTCTGACCCTGCGCTCTGGCTCCTGCAGGACGTGTCTGAGCCCGTGGCTTTAGAAGCACGTTATTCTGGGAGCTGAGCGCGCTGAGCGCTGTCCGTGGACTCCCCGGCACCCCCAGGCCTCAGTCAGCACCACCCAGAGGCTGTGGAGCTCCGCCCCCGTCCCCGTCACCTCCCAGCTGTATGCTAACGGAGTCAAAGGTCGGAGCGTTCTTAGGTTCCAACATAGATCGCGAGTGGTCCTACGGAAAGAGCTCATCCAGCCGGTGCGAGGCTGTGTGTCCCTGGGCCCACGTGGTATCACCGCCGTGACACAGCGTGGGTGTAGGTGACGGGGCTGTGGAGCTGTCCGTTGCCCCGGGGGCTGCGCCGTGCCTTTGTCCCGGGTCACCTCCGTCCTGCACACTGCCAGCACGGCCGGCACCATTGTCTCCTCCCGTATGCTGGGAATCTGGCTGGTGCTCACTGATTCCTCTCTGGTTTCTGACTTAGACGCCACAACGGGGAGGCCATGGCCACGTTCAGGTACGGAACGGGTTGTTCCAACGCCCTCTGCAGGCTGGACTGCCTCTGCTCGTATCAGCACAGGGGATAGGGAGCCCGGCCAGGAGCGCAGCCACCCCGAGCCGCCGTGTGCGTTTCCGGTCTCCTGCCGTGTGTTCAGCCTGGCTTCACACCAGGTGTCGGGACCAGTGCGGTGTCGCCGTCATTCCCCCGGGCGGTGCTGCTGTGGGTGACAACCATCCTGGCTTCTGTCCGCAGGCCAGCTTGGCGCCCAGGCTTGTGACGAGAGAAGGCTCTGTGGCCCCGCTCCCTCTCTACACGTCGCCATCCCTGCCCAACATCACCTTAGGACTTCCGGCCACCGGCCCGTCTGCTGTAAGTGCTCCCCGCAGGGCCGCGTGCGGGGCTGGCCGGCCCGGCCCGCAGCTGCAGCTTCCCGCTCTGCCTTGCAGGGCAGCGGCCCAGCAGGACACCGAAGGCTGGCGCTCCCCGCCCTGCAGCAGCGATCTCCCTTCCCTGGCAGCCACCTCGCCCCCTACCTAGCACCTCGCCCCTGGAGCGGACGGCGGGGCAGCCCACAGCCCCCTTCTGCAGCACATGGTGTTCTGGAGCAGCCGCCCGTGACAGGTGAGTGCCTGCAGACGCAGGGGAGGGCCTGCGCCCGACTGTCGTGCCGCCCAGCCCCTCCCCCGCCCCGGGCACCCGCCAGGCTCGGGTGCCAGGCCAGGTGGATGGCCCGTGTGTGCTGAGACCTCGGCCGATCGACCCCAGCTCCCACTGCCGTCTGAGAACAGGCCTTTCCAGGGACGAGGCGACCCTCGACCCCGTGGAGCAGCGCAGGGTCACGGACGCGCCCGTTTCCTCTGTGGATCGGTTCCCATCCCCGGGTCGCTGAAGTCAGCCGTGGCTGGTTCTGAACCTCCTTCTTGACACAGTTAAGGTCACAGCTCCCGGGGTGTTGTGGGGAGAAGCAGTGGTGCTGTGGGAAGTGGCGGTGACAGCTGCCTGTAGACAGGTGGGGAGGGCGCGCGTTTGCCTGTCTTTCTGACTGTGTGTCAAACGGCAGCCTCCGCAAGACGAGAGAGACACTAGGAGAAGGGCCATGGGGGCTCCCAGGAGCCACCACCCTGACGGCGCTGCTGCCCTGCCGCCCAGGCTCCGGGTCCCTGAGCAGAGTCCACCAGGCAGCCACCGCCTCCCAGGACAGACCTGAAGCCCTGCAGCCCCCCCCCCCCCATGCAAGGACGCAGGACGCCTCAGGCAGATGCCCACTCGGGGCCACCAGAGCTGGTGTCCTCACACCCATCGTCCTGCCTGACCGAGGGCTGCCGCACTCCTGAGCGTGGCTGCCGTGAGACTCCTAACCAGCAACGTGCCGCAGGAAGCATGAGCTGTCCCGGTGTGCTGTGACCAGTGCAACAGGGAAAACGTGGACCTTGCTGAAGGCCTGTGAGCGACGGACATGAGCACTTGCACGTAGACATGACGCAGACGCAGGGAACACAGCTCCTCCAATGCAGGTTTCTTTTCCTTAGAAACACGGGCAGGGGACCGTGGCACGCCAGCACCCTCCATGGCAGGTGAGGTGGGCTGTGTTAGCGCCCTCCATGCAGGTGAGGGTGGGCTGTGTTAGCGCCCTCCATGGCAGTGAGGGTGGGCTGTTTAGCGCCCTCCATGGCAGTGAGGGTGGGCTGTGTTAGCACCCTCCGTGGGCATGTGAGGGTGGGCTGTTTAGCACCCTCCATGCAGGTGAGGTGGGCTGTGTTAGCACCCTCCATGGCAGGTGAGGGTGGGCTGTGTTAGCGCCCTCCGTGGGCAGGTGAGGTGGGCTGTGTTAGCGCCCTCCATGGCAGGTGAGGGTGGCTTGTAGCACCCTCCGTGGGCAGGTGAGGGTGGGCTGTGTTAGCGCCCTCCATGGCAGGTGAGGGTGGGCTGTGTTAGCGCCCTCCATGGCAGGTGAGGGTGTGATGTGTTAGCGCCCTCCTTGGGCAGGTGAGGGTGGGCTGTGTTAGCGCCCTCCATGGCAGTGAGGGTGGTGTGTTAGCGCCCTCCATGGCAGGTGAGGGTGGCTGTGTTAGCGCCCTCCATGGCAGGTGAGGGTGGGCTGTGTTAGCGCCCTCCATGGCAGGTGAGGTGGGCTGTGTTAGCGCCCTCCATGGCAGGTGAGGTGGGCTGTGTTGCGCCCCTCCATGGCAGGTGAGGGTGGGCTGTGTTAGCGCCCTCCATGGGCAGGTGAGGTGGGCTGTGTTAGCGCCCTCCATGGCGTGAGGGTGTGGTTTGTTAGCGCCCTCCTTGGGCAGGTGAGGGTGGGCTGTGTTAGCGCCCTCCATGGCAGGTGAGGGTGGGCTGTGTTAGCGCCCTCCATGGCAGGTGAGGGTGGGCTGTGTTAGCGCCCTCCGTGGGCAGGTGAGGGTGTGATGTGTTAGCGCCCTCCATGGCAGGTGAGGGTGGGCTGTGTTAGCGCCCTCCATGGGCAGGTGAGGGTGGGCTGTGTTAGCGCCCTCCATGGCAGGTGAGGGTGTGATGTGTTAGCGCCCTCCGTGGGCAGGTGAGGGCGGGCTGTGTTAGCGCCCTCCATGGCAGGTGAGGGTGGGCTGTGCCAGCACCCTCCATGGCAGGTGAGGGTGGGCTGTGTTAGCGCCCTCCATGGGCAGGTGAGGGTGTGATGTGTTATCACCCTCCGTGGGCAGTGAGGACGTGATGCCAGCACCCCCATGGCAGGTGAGGACGTGATGTGCCAGCACCTCCTGCCCCAGCAGGTGTCAGTGTGCAGCCTGGCCTGAGCCTTAGTACCTGAAGGGTCTTGCTGGCATCTTGCGGAATCACGCTGAGAAGACCCTTGGGATGACTTGATCCCTGGGACAATGCTTTTTTGCATCTTTTCTTAGGAAGAGCCACGTGGAGGCCACCAGCGTGTAGCCTCCTGGGCACGCCTCTCCCTGATCAAAGCCACCATCTGCGCTGTGGTTGGCTGAGAGGTAGTGTGGCCGTCGCTGCCTTGCCCCAGGCGTCAGTCTGCCCCCCGAATCCCAGCCCAGGCCCCGGGCGGCGGACAGCCCAGAGCGGCGGCAGCGGCGCCAGGGCTGGCAGGTGCGTGCTGTGTCGCCATCACTCACTCAACGGCCTTCT